AGTTTCAGTATAGTTGAAAGGAGTGATTTACCTTTCCAATTGTCTGACGCCCAATTAATCAATTCTCCCCAAGTCATGTGAGTTACATAACACGCAGCTTTGATCAAGAACAAATCATATCCGAGACAGTCTTTCCCGAGTTGGAAGTCTGTCTATGATGGCCATCCAAGCAATCATACTGATTTTTGGAATGTGGGAAGGAAACCATATGATTTTATGCCAATGTACCTTGGTTCTTTTGTCCCTAATTGTTTCCCAAATCTCTTTAGTAGTTTTGGCTCCTGTACTAAGAATGGGAAGAGCAGTAGTACGAAGCTTCCCAATTCTCTTAATACTCCAGCTGTGTGAAGGTTTTACTGCCATGTCTCTAAAGTCTTCATTCTTAATAACATAGGAGTAAAGTCATGCGACCCAAAGGGACCCTTCAGCAGTGAGAATGTTACGGATAAGCTGGATCATACAAGCTGTGTTCCAGGATTTAATGTTTTTAAGACCTAACCCTCATTTAGATTTGGGGCAGCAAAGTTTCGCCCAGCTGACCCTAGCTTCAGAAGCAGCTTGATCATTTCTTTTCCATATGAACCGAGAGCAAAGCTGGTTAATACAATTGATAATAGCTTGGGGAATATTAAACTGCCTGCACCAGAAGTTAGTCATGTTGTACAATACTGTTTTAACTAACTTAAGCCTGCCTGCATAGCTTAGGAGCTTGCTGGACCAGTGATGGAGTCTGAGTTTAATTTGATCAATAAGAGGCTGATAGTCTTGTTCAATTAATTTTTTGTGACTAAAGGAACCCCCAAATATCTAATAGGAAGAAGACCCTGTTTGAATCCAGAAATAGTTTTGATTATTTGAAGACTTTGAGAAGAAATTCCTGCTGCAAAGAGTTCTGTCTTGCTTACATTAAGCTTTAGCCCTGACATGAGATAGAAGTGATCTAAGACAGAGATAATACCAGCAATAGAGTCAGATTTTCCCTTGCAGAAAATTAAAAGATCGTCAGCAAATGAAAGATGGGTAAGGCCTATCTTTTTGCATTTAGGATGATACCCAAAAATCCCTTTGGCAACAGCAAGGTTAAGGGTTTTAGAGAGTATGTTCATAGCAAGCACAAAAAGGGTAGGGGATAAAGGATCACCCTGTCTTAATCCCCTTTGGCCTTTGAAATAACCAACCAAACTACTATTGAGAGATATAGAGTACCTAGCTTCAGTAAAACAACATTCAATCCAGCTTATGAAGATGTTTGGCAGCCCTATAGCTTTAAGGATGCAAGAAATGAATTCCCAATTAAGAGAATCAAAAGCTTTTTGAAGGTCAATTTTGAGGGCACACCTTGGGGATATAAGCTTCCTTCCATAACCTTTTACAAGTTCTTGAGCTAGGAGGGTATTGTCTATGATAGATCTTCCTTTAACAAAGGCAGACTGATTAGGAGTAATAATTTCTGGCAGCAGCATGGTTAGTCTTTTAACAAGGATTTTGGTGATGATTTTGTACAACACAGAGTAGCAAGATATTGGTCTGTAATCCTTAACAGTGCTAGGGTTCTGTATTTTAGGAATCAAGGCTATTATTGTGGCATTGAAGGCAGGCATAATGAAAGCTTCTTGAAAGAAAAATCTGATAGCACTGGTTACATCATCTCCTACCACATGCCAAGTTTTTTTTTGAAAAAAAAGGGGTGTGAACCCATCTGGTCCTAGGGCTTTGTCATTTCCTTGACTAAAAAGAGCTTCTTTGATTTCTTCATTAGAAACAGTTCTAATAAGATCATTGGAAAGTTCTGTAGGCAGATCGTAGTGGAGCAGATTTTTCAAAAACTGAAAATCAGTGTGTTTAACATTAGGATTTACAGAACCAAGCTGCATTTTAAAGAACTCGAGAACTTTAGTAGCAATTTGATCAAAGGATTCCAACCTTTTGCCTTGAGAATCAATAAGGACTCTAATGGTATCTCTTTTGTTATTGGAAGCAATGACAAAGTGGAAGAACTTGGAGCATTTGTCTCCATCTTTGATCCAATTAATTTTGGCTTTCTACTTAAGGAACTGATTTTCAGCCTCTTCAAGATTATAGAGATCATTTTGAATATTAAGCTCTTCTTTAATAGTGCTAGCCCCTTTGAGAGTTTGAATTTGTATGTATTCCAGCTCAACTCTCTTGAGTTTAACCCTATCAGATAAGTTGCTGTAGGAATCCTTATTGAGAGATTTTAAGCAAGGCTTAAGTCATTTTAGCTTGAGGAACAGAGTTTGTATAGGGTTGCCTTTTACAGGTTGCTGCCAAGAATGAGTGACAATATCAAGAAAGGTAGGATGATTTGACCAGAAGTAGAAGAACTTGAAAGGTTTGGGTCTGTTAGTTTAGATTTCTTTGTTTAACCAAACCAGTGCCATGCAGTGGTCAGAAGGACCAGTGGCATAGAATTCAACAAAATATCTTTGGAAGGCAGTGGCCCAGAAAGAGTTAATTAAAACTCTATCAAGCTTCCTTGCTAAGAAGGTATCCTTTTGTTTATTACTCCAAGTGAAGGAAGGGCCAAAGTAGTAATGATCTTGAAGAAGAAGGTCTTGAGTCAAATCTTGAAAATCCCTCATATCAGAAGATTGATAAGGACCTAAAATATCTGAATCAGAACTTTCAGAGTAATGTAGATAGGTGTTGAAATCCCCTCCTAGAATCCAAGGAGTAGAATTGAGTTGAGAATCAAGGCTTCTAAGGTGCTGCCATAATTGCCTTCTGATAGTTCCATTGTTACTGCCATAAATGGCAGTGATGATAAAAGGAATATTATTGAATTGGCACTTGACAGTGATACTTTGATCAGAAGAGTTGATGAAAGAAATGTTTATTCCTTTTTTCCAAAGCAGTCATAGTCTACCATTAGAGGCAAAATTATAATTTGTAATCACCTTCCAGCTCCCAAAAGTAGAATGCAGGATATTGTCAGATTTTTCAGCTTTGATACGAGTTTCCATCAAACAAAGGATATCAGCTTTGTGAAGATATTCCCTTTGAAGGACTTTTATTTGCTTATGAGGATTGTTTAATCCTCTTATATTCCAGAAGCAGACTATCATAGTGAAGAGGATTTTGAAGTTTCTCATTTATCAACAGGAGTCTTAGATTTAACTAAATGCTCTTTCTTTGTAGCCTTTAACTCTTTAAGGAGATTAGCAACTCCTGAAGCAGCAAGTCTTGATTTCTTTGGTTGGATTTCAACATTAGGGGAGTTTTCATCAATTAAACTCAGGATTTCAAACCTGTTAGCAGATCCTTTAAGAGGGACTTTAGTTTTGACCTTTAGTGGTCTGCCTCTACCTCTTTTAGGAATTGAAGTCGAAGATTTTTTATCTCTGGTGGGGGAGAGAAAAGGCTGTGAAAGAGTCTCCATTAGAGCAGATTCATCAGATAGAGGAGAGGAAGCTTTATTGATTGGAGAATTCTCTTCAGCAGGGAGCAAGATTGAGGAGGATGTTAAGTTGTCCTTAGGAGTGTGATCATATTGAATTTGAGGGTGACTAACCGTAACCGCTTCTGAGTGAGAATCAGAAGGTTCAGTGTGATCTTGTTGTAAATCATCAGAGTTTGCATGAGGTTTTGTTTCAATACTAATGTTAACTTCAACCTTTTTTCTCCAAATTTTCATTGGAGCAGTTGAATGTAGAGATGGGCAATTCTTTTCAGAATGTCCAAATTTGGCACATTTCTTGCAACTATTTGGGAACCAAGGAACTTCAACGTAAATAAGAGTTTTAAGACCATTTGCAAGAATTACTTCTACAGAGTCAGGAATTTTCTGCTTAACATCAACCTCAACACAAACTTTAGCAAAGTGCAATCTAGTTTTAGAAGCAATGAAAGAGTCCATGGAGATTGGTTTCCCTAGTGCACTGGCAATATAACTTAGGCCATCTTGAGTATATAATTCTAGAGGCACATTGTAAAGATGGATCCATATAGGCAGATGAGCAAAATAAAAATCGAGCTTTTGTAAGTTAGGCTCCCAAATTCTTAAGATTAAAGGCTTGTTGAACACATGCCAAGGTCCGTTATCAAGGACCCAGTCTCTAGCAGAATCATTAGCAAAGGAAAAGATGTAAAGGTTGTTTCCGGCGTAACTGACCTGAACTCCTTCTCCTTTAGCTGGGTGGTTCCATAAGGTTTCAATGATTCTTTGCAGAGCGGTGAAATTTGGTGGCGCCCCGAGAAATTGACCCACCAGAGATGATTTCCAGACTGATGTTCCAGCTTCAAAGACCTCTGGCGGAGGACAGACAATCGGATTGTTATCGGTCGATTTTGGGGGGGGGAAATGATAGCTTTTGGCTTTCTTGACATTTAAAAAGCTTTCTCCAATCCATCTTGCGAGACAAGAAGGTGAGAAATAAAGAAACCAGTAGAAACGAATCGATTGACAATGGAGAAATCACCGTCGACGGAGGGAATCTCAGGCTCCATTAGCCCCGCTAACGTGCGCGCAGAGAGAAACGCAAATGTACGCCATGATAAATTAAAAGACCGGGAATATCCAAAATATTATTTTGGTACAAGTCTATTACATATTTATTAACTTTTTAAAAATAATATTAAAAAATCCAAATAAATTTAGGATAAAATATACAAATGGGCCCTGACTATAAAAAATTACTTTATTGAATCACTCAACTATTAAAGTTACAAAACGATCCTTCAATTATAGAATGTTAATTTATTGAGTTTCTTAACTATTAAAACTCGACTATTAATTATGTTCTAAACTCGTCCTTTTCTGTTAAAAATTAACGATAGTCTGAGTTGGATTTTAATTTGTTGTCTGAGATATGATGGTCGTTTGAGATTTTAGGATTAGATTCTATCATATCTAAGATAACATATTAACATCCATCCCAGATTGTCATCAATTTTTTAACCAAAAATCACGAATTTAGAATATAATAAAATCCGTCAGTGTCCTAAAAAAACCCACGTCTAATCATATAATATATATATACTATAACCAAAAAAAAATTCAAAGTGAATTTGTAATTAAATTCTTGTCTTGTGAGGGCTATTGACATGCTTAATCCCATGGTGACCATGCTTTGCTTGTAAATGCTGGGGCGTCCTCGGTGCTGCTTGCTTTGTTGCATGCAGACGTTCTAATGAAGCCAACACAACCACCATGGATGGTCTGTTCTTTGGATCGGTATGCAGGCACTGCAACGCGAGTGCTGCAGCGGCTTGCGCTCCTTTCTTCGAGTACTGCCCACCCAACCTCGTGTCCATTATCCGTAGTACTTTCCGGCTGTCGCTCAAGAAGGGTTTCGCCCATTCCACCAGTGTTTCTTCCGAAAACCCGACTTGTTCGTTGTCCATTGCCCGGCGTCCCGAAAGCAGCTCTAAGAGTACAACACCGAAGCTGTACACATCGCTCTTTGGGGTCAAATGACCTGCATGCAATGTTTAAACAAATTACTTGTACCACCATTGAGAGACTAACTTACTAAGAAGTCTGCAGATAAATTTCCGAGCCGTTTTCACGAAGCTTGTTTGATGGAAACATATTGGTTATGGAAATTATAGGTAATTTCTCTCTTTTAATTCGGGCAGAGAATCACATATAATATTTAAATGGATATTGGTCGATGTCAGAATGTTTTGTTTCCATGAGAAGCTAGAAAAGAGAGATATGAGAATGAAGTCGTGCCATTCCTTCTCTTAATCTCGGTCGAGAGGTTTTGTAGAGACTTTAGTAGCTGGTATCAGACTAGGGTTATTATGAGTACCTCTAAGCTACCATGTTAGATGAATATAATCATCTAACGATATATTTGACTCTGATAAATCATGTAGGACTATTATAAGTAGTGTCAAGAATTTGAATCTTCCCGAGATATTCTCCGAAGGCTTCCTCTCCGGAAATTCTGTGTATTAAGAAGGTACTAAAAAATTTTCCTCTAAATTTTTCGGAGTTCCGGAGGAGGTATAACAAAACTATACTAATTACTAACCTACCTCCCACAATTTCTCATCTCTACTTGAATGTTGGAAACGAAATGAACAATGCGAAAAAGTGGTTTATGGCATGATCATGCTGAGCATATTATGCTTAACAGCTCTAAGCCTCGCGCACATGCCGTATAGAGGGGAAGCAGAGCAGAGTTGAGAAGAAACCTGAAGCAACATATTCAGGGGCTGCATAACCTTGGGTTCCGACAACTCTGGTCGAAACGTGGGTGTTATCACCAATTGGACCATCTCTTGCTAACCCGAAATCCGAAAGCTTCGCATTGTAATCCTACATAAGTTTGGAAACAATATTAATAATCGATTCGGACTGAATGATTCACCGGAACACATCGGCTCTGCGACTCGATCCCAAACCAGAACACTTACCGAATCAAGAAGAATATTGGAAGCCTTTAAATCCCGGAAGATCACATTAGCATCTAAGCTATGTAAAAAGGTCAATCCCTGTGCAACTCCCCTGGCAATATGCATCCTTGTAGCCCAAGAAATCGGTTGAACAGCTTCTGCAACAAGAAAAAACATAATGAGAAGAAGATCAGTGGGAAAACAGTTAAATCTGCAGAAAGATAGAAGCTTACTTTTAAATAAGTGATTCTCCAAACTTCCCTTCTGCATAAACTCATAAACCAAAAGTCTGTTCTCAGACTCCATACAGTAACCCATGAGTTTCACCAGATTTTCATGGTGAAGCTGACCCAAATAGTTAACTTCAGCCTACAAAATGTTGATCACCAAGGAATCAGGTTCACAAATATGAGCTTTCAAAGAAAATAGCAAACGTGTTCTTGATGGCTACAACGAACAAATATGGAATCAGACCATGGAAATTACAATGAAGAATAACAAACAAGAGTTTTACATACAAGCCATTCTTTGTGACCCTGAAAGCTTTCTGCATTGAGTTTCTTGATGGCTACAACGATGCCGGTTCCCGGCTTGGTCGGCGCAAACGTGTTCTCGTCGATCCAACCTTTGAAAACACACCCGAATCCTCCTTCCCCGAGGAGTGTTTCGGACCGGAAGTTTTTAGTGGCGTTTTTAAGGTCACTGAAAGTGAAAGACTTGAGACTTGTGGAAACAGATGTATCGGCTTTGAGATTGCTGGGAACTGGTGTGTGGGGTTTCGAGATGGAGGGAACCGGGAAATTAGGGGAAGAAGCATGAGCACACTTTGCAGGTTTATCCCAGCAAATACCCATGTGGGATGAAGATGAGACAATGAAGCTGATATGGTCAAAACATATGGGGAAGACGAGGAAGAATACGAGTTCTCGACGAAAACGATTAACCCATTTAAGGGGACCTGGAAGATGAAAATAACCCGAGGTCCTCGGATCCATGATTTTTGACCCACTCGACATAAAATTTAATCTTTTCATTTCATATAACTTAAAATTCAATCAGATGTTTTAAGTTAAAATTTATACTTGATCCGAATTATATATATATATATATATAATCAAAATGTAAATTTTAAAAATAAAAAATAAAATCAAAATCCATTAAATTTGGATAAGCTACCCCTTCCTAGGCTCATCTCCATTTAAAGGGTCATTTTCTTTAATGAAGAAAAACAAAGGGGATTTTGAAGGAAACAGGCAGCAAAACACAAGGGGAGGTGCTTAATTGGTCAATGGGAGGTGGCTATACATATATATGAAACTGGAAATGTGTCTCTTTAAATTATATAAAATGAAGACCCAAATTTCCATTAGGGATTTAAAGTCCCCACAGTGGAAGAAAATCGTATATGAAATATTTAACATCACGTCCCCTTGTGCTCTCTGTTCTGCAACTCTGACCGTTGAATGTCCAACGCCTTCATCCTCCTCTGTATCAGCGTCAAATTATGCATAACGCTCTGTACACGTGTCGTTTTGAAAATGCTTGGGGAACTATTTTATGTATTGACCATTGTTCGCTATATTGTTTATTCTCTATTTAATTAAAAATTATTGACCATTTAAGCATATTTAATCATAGTTTGAATTGAATTATTTTTGTTTACCTTTGAATATATAAAATTTATTTAACTGTATGAAAAATGTTGAACCGTGTATGTAATATATCACGTTTAAAATATGTTAGATTTTGAATTCCTAGTAGTGACTTAAATTTTGAACGCCAAAGTTTGATAGTTAAAATGGATAAACTATACCAGAGAACATTCAACTATAGCCATTTTTTCATTTCGACCATGATTTTTGAATTCTTGTCAATTATACACCTAACTATTTGAATGCATTCAATCAGATCACTAGACGTTAACATTTAACAGAAGTGATGGCGTAGTTAATAAAATTGATATAATTATACAGTTGATCCTGGATATTTATACATTCTTTCAATTTAGTCATAATTTAATTTAATCCTCTAATCATATGATGCCATGTGTCATCATATGATTGGAGAGATTTTTTATAAAATTTTAATTTATTTAATATAATTTTTTTCGTCCAACCATATGGTGACATCAGGTTAAAGGAAAAACAAATTTAAACATATTGAGAGGGGTGGGTTCGAACTAATGTACTGCCACATGGAGGAGAAAAAGAAAGCATTACCCTTGAGCAAAGCCTTCATTTGTGATTAGGCTTACATAATTTTGTATAAAACCTATTGTGGCTACTGAAAAAAAAACTACTTATTTAGGGACTTAAATCTAAGCAAATTATATGTTTAGGGCACTCTAATCACAAATTAATACAAAATTAAAAATAAATTTAAGATTATTTTACATTTCTAGAAAAAAAATTAATATTTCTTTTTCATAATTATAATTTAATGACTTTAACATCTACATTTAAGTTAAAAAATATTTTGACTCAATTAAACAATTTTTAAATTCAAAAGTTAAAATTTTTAACTTTAACTTTTGAGTTAAAGAAATAACTTTAAAAATGAAAATTTTAACTCAAAAGTTAAAGAAATAGTAATCGAATCAAATCAAAAAACTAAAATCATTAAATTATAATTATGAAAAAGAAAAAATATTAAATTTTGTCTTAAAATGAAAAAGTCAAAACATTAATTTGTGATTAGAACGTCCTAATCATATAGTTTGCTTAGATTTAAGTCGCTAATTAAGTAGTTTCACTACAACAAAATAGATTTTTATCAGGGTTTTTTCGGTCATCAACAAAATCTGCAAACGCAGCACTTACACCTAAAAACCTCTATTTCTTTCACCAGGGCACAAAATAGCGTTAAAATCTCCTCTGATGAGTCAAGGAGAATGAATTCCCGGATTGAGATTCTCGAGTTGTGCCCAAAGATGGCGTCGAAGAGAGATGTGAGGACTCGCATAAACACAAGCCTACTAATTTTAACTGAGCAGTGAATGTACAGGTTTGAGATATTAAGGATAGTAATCCTCACTTGATCCTACCAAAGGATTCAGATGCCCCCGCTAAAGCCTTGGGCTTCAACACGAAAGTTCGGAAAACTAAATTTAGAAATATCTTAACTTGGTCCTCACCGTTATTGTCTGAAGTTGTATCACAAACCCTAGCTTGGGGATCAAACAAATTCTCCTTTCCAGGCGCCACAGGACCCACGGGCAGCAAACAAGATGAGTTTCCAGTAGTGTCTACATTAGAGGATGAAGGGAGAATCATGTCTGCGAAAACCGGTCTCGATGGGGGTTTGTACTGAAATTTTTTCTTAACTTTTAAGCTCTTCGACCCAGCTTTTAGTCCGTCACAACGAATCTTAACCGAGGGATGTTTATCCTTAGTCCGTTCAAGGATAGTAATGGCCGAGTGAGATCTAACACTAATATTCGGTTCGTAAGTCACAGTTTGGACCTTCTGTCCAGCAACCAAAGGTTCAACATGTGGACTAGCCACTCGGTTCAAATCAGAATCTATATGAGTATCTGTAGAATTTTTTACCGCGGCTTTCTTACTTTTAGAAATACCCGACGAACTTCCTGGACCACTTACATGGCCAGTTTGAAAATCTACTTGAAACACTGGATTAGCATGAATCTTTATAAGCTGCTTGTCCTTATTATAACTTCTGCCTAGTCGGTTTAATACTTCCTTGGCACCCCCCCCCCCCAATTTTGTTCTGAGGTTCTATCTACCGTCTCCTTATCCATTACAGCCAAGGCCTCAAAAACAGTATTGTTGAGAGTATCATTTTCCCCATATCACACTCTCCAGTCGTGATATTCTTGTTTGTTTTCTCCTGAGGTTGACGACAACGATTAGTGGCTACCATCCACGGCCCAAAAGGATCTTTATTTTCCTATCTTGCATGTCCAACATTTGAATTCTACTCATTCTGTGCAGATTGGTCTGAAGTCAGAACCGTCTCATCTTTTTTAGGGCAAGTATTCTGTATATGACCATACACTCCACAGTGAAAGCAGATATTTTGTAACCCTTCGTACTCGATCTTCTGAACAAAACCATCAATACCAATACACGAGAGTAAAGGCTTAGAAAGATCGACAATCACTTCTAATCTAGCAAACTTCCCACGTTCACCCAAGTTCGTGTTATAGTCAATTTTGATGACCGTGCCAAGTTCAGCCGCTAAGATCTGTAACAAAGACTTCGTGTTGTATCGGTATGGTAGACCAGGGAGTCTAACCCAAACAACCACCTGAGAATGGTGGCTTTCAATGGTTAACGATCTGCTCCAAGGTTGGTCGTTTAGTAGCTTCCAAACACCATCCATGGCCCCTCCGTTAAAACTTTTGTGTAATCATCTGCAATCTCAAAATGAACGAGAAATTATTCGTTATCAATATCGATTAATTGGTCCTTACCCTATGGTTGCCATAGGAGTTTAATCTTTGATAGCAACACACGATATCTAATGCTTTTCCCAAGGAGTCTCACAATAACCGTTTGTCTCATATTATGATCGATCAAGTCATGATCCCCATTATAGAAGCGAATTATTGAATAAGGGCCGTTTCGATCCACATAGCAGTCTCCTTCTTGTATGATTACATCCTCATCACAGAACCCTAAGCTATTTAACTGATTGTCTTTTGTAGATCCAATAACCGTGGCAGCATAGGTTTTTTGGATGTGGTGTTACAGAGGTATCGTCTTAAGTGGAGTTTACAGGCTGAGAACCATCCTCTTCCATTGGGGTAAGAGATCCCGACGAAACAGCATGAAACCCTGGACTCTCCGAGGGGGTTGACACCGGATCGGCCGTTACCACAGTCGTCGGCTGCATGGGAACACTCATGAGACGTTGACGAAAACCCTAATTTGATACTTTGACTTTATTATTAGATTACATGGTTGGTGACAATTTTGTTTAACATGATGTATTCGAAGATAGCTCAAAGTATTGTCATCGAAGAACATGTAAACGATTTTAATTGAATCAAGTGACATAAACATGGATAACGGGAAACCTAAGTGTATTTTAATGGAATCGGTGGTGAATTGTGATTTTTTTAGTCAAAAAGATCACATTAAATATTTTATAAGTTTGATGGTCATATTGAATGTAAAAAAAAAATTTAAGGATCATATGACTTTTTTAAAGTTGGAGGACCTCATATATTATTAAATCATTTTTTTTATTTTTTAAATATTTTTTTTGGATAAGTAAATTATATTCCATCCAAAAATACCCGCAGCTTAGCTGCTACAAAATGAACAGTTACAAACTAAATCAGTTCCCAGTTTATGTACAAGAATCTATTACCATCATCCACTCTATGTAAACTAAGACTATACAATTTTGCTTTCACTGCCTCCTTAATTCTTTTTACAATTACCTCACTTGAGCTTGAGATGCCTCTAAAATGCCTATAGTTACGCTCTTCCCAAATATAATACAAAAAACCAGTCCAAGCAAGTTTTAGAATCCGTACTCGAAAAGTTTTGCCCTTCAGGTTTCCAACCATCCAGCTAAGACGTTGATCCCAGGTAAGAACAACACAACGAGTACCACAAAGGCTTAGAACAGAGTTCCAAACATCCATAGCAAAAGGACAAGCAGCAAATAAGTGATCCCTCGATTCAGAGTCTGAACCACATACCAAACAAGCAGCATCAACAGCTAAGCCAAAAACGGGCAAGTCTGTCTTTAGTTGGCAGCCGATCGAGGATGGCCATCCACGAGATTAAAGAGAATTTGGGGATATGGGACGGGAACCAGATAAGCTTATGCCAACTCACATTCTCCCTTCTAATTCTAATACAGTCACATACCCATTTGCCTTTAATAAGGCACAAATTAGTACCAGGAGGAAATAGATTACTCGCAAGATCTCGCAGCCTCAAAAGTTTAAGCAAAATCCAGCTGTAGTGAGGTTTGCAGACTGCTTCCCAGTAACTCACAGATTGGAAACAATAAGCTTTCACCCAGGCGATCCACAATGAGCCTTCCTCCGCTAAGATATTTCTTATAAGCAACAAACAACAAGATTTGCTCCAAAGAGAAAGATCCCTAAGTCCCAAACCACCCTCAGACTTAAGGGAGCAAATTTGGTTCCAACCTACACGGGCTCCTCTAGCCGAGGCGTCACAACCTTTCCAAAAAAAAAACGCATACAAAGTCTCTCAACATCCCTAATGATCCCTTTAGGTATGATAAGCTGCCTACACCAAAAATTAAAAATACTGAAGAGGACCGACTTAACAAGCTGCAATCTTCCTCCAAAACTGAGTTTTTTGCTGGACTATTGGCTCAACTTGTCCTTAATTCTTTCAAGCAGGGCAGTGCAGTCCTTACCAGTGAGCTTTCGAGTGACTAGGGGAACCCTAAGATACCGAACTAGAAGCTGAGCAACTCTAAAGCCAGTGGCTAACCAGATCTGATCAAGGGTGTTTTGACTCAAGCCACAAGCAAAGAATTCAGTTTTCAAAACATTCAACTTAAGCCCTGAAAGTTCATAAAACATTTCCAGAGTACTTTCGACTCCAAGCACAGATTCAAGGGAACCATGACAAAAGACCAATAGATCATCCGCAAAACAAAGATGGGTGAGTTGGATTCGTTTGCATTTGGGATGATACTTAAAAACACCCTTCATAGCAGCAGAATTCAAGAGAGAATACATCACATTCATCACTATAACAAAAAGATAGGTTGACAATGGGTCATCCTGCCTAATCCCCCTTGCACCCTTAAAGAACCCCACCAGGCTGCCATTCAAAGAAACATAATACATAGGAGTAGTAATGCAACCACTGATCCAATTGCAAAACATTTCAGGAAGACCCATTGCTCTAAGAATATTCAGCAAAAAATCCCAATTAACAGAGTCAAAGGCTTCTGGAGGTCTATTTTAATAACACACCGAGGAGAAAGACTTTTCCTAGAATATTCTCTAACCACTTCCTGAGCCAACAAAGTGTTATCCATTATATTCCTGTCCTTAACAAAAGATGTTTGATTCTGGGAAATCATTTCAGGAAAGTAGGGAACAAGTCTATCCACAAGGATTCTAGTTATAGTTTTATAGACTACAGAACAACAAGATATCGGTCTAAAATCTTTTGCAAAGCAAGCATTTGAGGACTTTGGAACCAACACTAAAGTTGTAGCATTAAAAGCAGGCAGCAAGAAAGAAGTTTGGAAGTAATACCTCACGGCAGAAATAAAGTCACTGCCCACAATTTCCCAGATAGCTTTGAAAAAACCAAAAGTAAAGCCATATGGACCCAGGGTTTTGTCCTTCCCTTGCCTGAATAAAGCCTCTTTAATCTCCAATTTACTAACCTCCTTAGTGAGAAAAGAAACAGCTCCATCAGGCAGAGAATACCTCAGTAAATCTTTCAAACTCTCAATAGGGAAACTCTTAAACAAAGGGTCAGTGGAGCCAATAAGGTTAGTGAAGAACTTCACTAACTCTGCAGCCATACCATCAAAGGTATCATACCTCTGTCCATCCTCACCCATAACTAATCTAATTGTATTCTTTTTCTTATTTACTTGTGTCCTCTGATGAAAAAATCTGGTGTTTAAATCACCTTCCCTAAGCCAGTGAGCTTTTGCTTTTTGCTTGTAGAAAACAGATTCTGCAATCTCCAAATCCACTAGCTCAGCTTGAATCCTCCTCTCATCATCAATTTTCCGTTGCTCCGGGTGAGCCAGATTAAAAATTTGAGTTAGTTCTAATTCAGCCCTTTTGCTACTTACCCTGCCAGAGATATCAGAAAAGTACTCTTTATTCAATTCCTTTAGACGGGGCTTGAGCCTTTTCAACTTGAGGAACAAGCAGCTCATGGCATTATCCCCACTCTATCCATACCAAGCATCCCTAACAATACCCAAGAATTTCTCATGCCCAGTCCAACAATTAAAGAATTTAAAAGGGCGAGGTCTTTTGATCATGCCATCCTTGTGTGACCAGAGTAAACCAAGGCAGTGGTCAGAAACTCCCTGAGCAGCAAATTCGGCAAAAGAATCAGGGTGATCAAGCAGCCATTGATCATTGACTAACATCCTATCTAATTTACGAGCTAAATATGATTTATCCTGCATGTTTGACCATGTAAATAATGGCTCAATGAACGGATGGTCCATGAGGTCAAGATTCTCCAAGCAATCCTAAAAGTCTTTCATGTCTGGGGTGCAGTGAATACCCATAACATCAAAATCAGAGCTCTCCTTTGCTTTTGCAATAATATTGAAATCCCCCCAATAACCCATGAGGAAGATCCAACCTCATTCCCAACAAAGATTAGGTGTTCCCAAAGACCCCTCCTAGCAACTCCATTGTTATTGCCATAAACAGCCGCAATAGTTGTCCTATGCCCATCAACTATCCCCCAAATAGTAACAGCTTGATCATGTTTCCGCAGCACAGAAAACATCAAGTGTTTCCTCCAAAATAATCAAATTCGACCCCCATCAATAAAGTCATAATTCTCAGCAAAATTCCAGTCAGCAATCAAAGAAGAAGAGAAAATATCAGCATTTTCCCTCTAAATACGAGTCTCCATCAAACACATAACATCCACCCCAGCTTTATCCAACCTTCTAAACACTTTCAACTGTTTGAGGGAATTGTTTATCCCCCTCACATTCCAAAACCCTATAATCATTGAGAAGGAATGGAATACACGAGACTACCCACACTCGAATTCACTATAGTACTCTTAGCTTTTTCCAAGTGATCCTTCTTTTTATCTTTATCTCATTTAGCAACATAGCCACCCCCAAGGAAGCAGTTCTAGTTTTCCTAGGCCCCTCTGCAACACTCTCTAGTTTACTAGAGGAACCCACAGTTTCCTTCTTTCTCCCTCTTGTTTTATTCTTCAAAGAATCCTGAAGAGTAGGAAAATCACCAGGGAGAGCATCTTGCGAGGGATTAATACTAGAGCCAATATCAGTCAGGTAAGAAACAAATTCATTCTGAGGAACAGATTCATTCTACATGAATTGAGCAGGATTTCCAAGTGGCATTCCCACAATTGCCCCATTACCCTCTTGCAAGGCATTATACGAAGTCTCCACAATTGCCTCACTACTCTCCTGTAAGTCTTTAACTGAAGCCTCCATAGCAGTACCAACCTGAAAATCCACATGTTGTGCCAATTCAATTGACTGACCATTGGCAGAATGAGTATCAGAACTAAAATGCACCTTCTTAGAATTATTAGCAATTTCAAGTTCAACATTAGAAACATTGGCACTTTCTTGAATCTCCTTAGTACCAGTAACCAAAGAAGCCAACTCCTTCTTCCTCCAAACTTGGATCTCCTTAGGCTTTTGAGTAGGCAGCTGAGCCTCAGTACACGAGTTAGCTTGATGACCAAAAGCTTTGGAAACAGTACAACCCTGAGGAAGCCAGGGCACAAACACCCTGATGATCACTGGTGACCCATCCTTTAAAATAACATAAATAGAGTCAAGAATAATGCCTCCAACTTCTATTTCCACGCAGACTTTAGATAATTCAAACTTCTGTCTGGAGGCCGTTATGGTGTCCATGTACAAAGGCCTACCTATTGCACTAGCTATATAGCTTAACCCCTTCTGAGAAAAAAGCTCTAGGGGAACATTATGAAGCTGAACCCAGACTGGCATACAAGACAGATCGAAGCTTAGCTTCTGCAATCCAGGAACCCATTTACGCAAAACTAATGGTTTGTTCTGGACATGTCAAGGTCCATTATCCAGTGTTGGATATATGAACTGCAAAACTACACCGTTAGCATTGACTGGAAATATAAACAGTAATTAAAAGGAATAAATTCGTAAACCGTGTCGTGGTAAAAACCACTGCCTTAGAAACAAATTCTCCCCGATGTGTGTAATCGCTGCAGTAGGCGGACCATCCCCCGAGGTTAACACGGTCGTTCCGAATTCCGTACACCCGAAACCGGAGTAGACTGCTGGTGGTATTACTCTTCTGATTGGAAAGCACTCAGAGAGAACTCACAGAGAGAATTGTAGAAAACACTTTTGTAAGTGAATTGTGAATGTTTGAGAGTGAGATGAGAAGCTGAATATAGCCCTCTATTTATAGGCTAGAAATAGGGTTAAAATTGTCCATAAAATTTAAGGATTAAATCTCTTTTTTGTAACAGCTGAAACGTCTAGATGAACCTGACTCAAAAATAGTCCAGGTTCATTGCATCATTGTTCAGCTGTTATAATTCTCGAAATTATATCATGTAACCCATGGAATTAAATCAAATAACTCCTGTAACTCCTGATATTAACAGTTTGTCTCCTCTGTACAAAGCTGGAAATTAGTCCAGATACATCTTAACGTTTTTGATTTAATTTAGGAAAAGTTGTTTAATTTCTCATAAACTAGCTGTTATCATTTGAAATTAAACAGTCCTCAGCAGCCTATAAATATCAGTTGAAATCTTTCACATTTTTCCATTTGTTTCTTCCAAAGAGAAATTCCTCAAGAATTTTCTCTAAAAATATATTATCCGTGCGGACGTGTCAAAGACACGTATTACCACGACCACGACCACGACCACGAGCCGAGCCGTACCGAACTGAGACAGACAGACGGCGGCGGCGGTGCGCGAGAGTCCCCCTTATTCTCTATCACTCAATAAGAAAGTGGGAAAGCCAAGCCTTAAATATTATTCCCAATAGTGTTTCCAATACTATGTGGGATTGAGCATTACCAACATTACCCCACTAATACGAAAGAAATCTTCTGAAACTCGAAAACAAACTTTCCAGAAGAGCAATAGCGAGATTAGTTGCTTAAGCACTAGTGAACGTATCTAGAACTAGTACATAGTGATGATGAGCAATCATTCTCTTAGATAAGTGAAACTAGTCTAGAACTTTCTAAGATCAGGGTAAACTCATAACACACAACTAACCCCTTCATCCACCTGAGTCCTCGATGTGTAAGATATATATATACAAAGTATATATTTAGCCATCTTACCTCAGGATTCTAGTAAGTGTGCTAGAAAAATGGCCCAACATTTTTCATAGAAGGCGACTAACCCTTCTCACTTTCATAGGTTATTTCATCAAGTTTATCTCAACATAAACCACCCTTTAAAAATGGATATAAAATAATTAAGAGTTTTAATAATAGCTCAACCTCACAAAGGGTATGGTGACTTTCTTCAAGTTCATTATTAATGAACCACCCAAACTCTGGGCTAAGAAGTCATTAAGAATAAATATTCAACCTCATTTATCGGTAAATTCAGTAAGTCCTTCTCACTAGAACCATCCAAATACTTGGATTTGAATTTATTAAGAGTTTAACAAACTCAACCTTTCTGTAGGTAAGTTCATCATTTCCTACCCACTCACTCTGGGTTATGAACTTATTAAGAATAAATATTCAGCCAAAATCGGTAAATTCATCAAGTCTTTCTCACTAAGACCACCCAAAGACTGGGCTATGAATTTATTAAGAGCACTTAAGCTCATCCTGGGCATGCACATTATTCGTCATATGGATAGGTAGTAGGAATGTGCACTATGAGTCTTTCCATGGTTTCGTTTGACCACATGGAACTTAGATAACTAAGTTGGGTATCCACCATGAATTCCTCAACCAATGGGCTTTAGACCCATCCCCCTCGACGAATCTAGGACCAGCTTCCGACTTAACCCTTTGGTAAGTGGATCTGCTAGGTTCCTTTCCGACTTCACATACTCTAAAGAGAGCACTCCATTCTTTATTAAGTGTCTCACTGACTCATGTCTTATACGAATATGTCTTTTCTTACCATTGTAAGCTTGGTTCTTAGCCACACATATCGCAGCTTGTGAATCACACAATAATGAAACTGAAGGAGTCAGTCTTCCCCATAACGGAATATCTGCTAACAAACTTCTGAGCCACTCGGCTTCTTGCCCAGCTAGGTCAAGAGCTATAAACTCTAACTCCATAGTAGAACGAGCAATACAAGTCTGCTTTGATGATTTCCACGAGATTGCTGCTCCACCCAAAGTAAAAACATACCCGCTCGTAGAGTTTACCTCATCATTATCAGAAACCCAGTTGGCATCACAATATCCTTCCAGTACCGTAGGAAAGCCAACAAACTCAAGTTTCTAATCCAAAGTACCCTTAAGATACTTCAGTAAGCGTTTAAGAGCAATCCAGTGCTCACCACTCGGATTATGAGTATATCTATTCAGTCTACTCACAACATAAGTAATATCAGGCCGAGTATAGTTCGTTAAGAACATTAAGCTTCCAATTAACTTAGCATATTCAGTTTGGGAAACGCTACTTCCTTTATTCTTAACTAGATGTATGCTAGGGTCATAAGGAGTTCGAATAGGGACGACATCAAAACTGTCAAATTTCTTTAGCACTTTCTCTATATAATATGCTTGACATAAAGAAAATCCCTTCTCAGTTTTGGTAACTTTGACTCCTAAGATTGCATCTACTTCTCCCAAATATGTCATCTCAAACTTAGTGGACAAGAAATTTTTAACTTTGTTAATGGACTCAATGTTAGAACTGAAAATCAACATGTCATCAACATAAAGACTTATGATAACACTTTCAGTATCAAACATCTTCGAATACACACAAGCATCCAAACCGTTCACAACAAAACCAAAACTAAGAATAGTTTTATGAAATTTCTCATACCACTGTTTAGGAGCCTGCTTAAGTCCATAGAGTGACTTTTTGAGTCTACAGACTTTGCCTTCCATACCAGGTGCTTCAAAACCTAGTGGCTGCTCCATGTAAATCTCCTCATCTAGATCTCCATTAAAGAAAGCAGTCTTAACATCCATTTGATGTACCTACAACTTATGAATAGAGGCTAGTTCAAATAATGCACGAATCGTTGAGATTTTTGTAACGGGAGAATATGTATCAAAGTAGTCTAAACCAAACATTTGAGTGAACCCTTTGACGACTAACATTGCCTTGTACCGCTGAATCGAACCATCTGGCTGGAGATTGGTTTGAATCCCTTAGGCAAGTCAACTAATTCCCAAGTATGATTAGACATTATCGATTCTAGTTTAGCATTAACAACGCTTTTCCAAAAACTAGCATCGATAGATCTTATAGCTTCTTCAAAAGTTTTAGGATCCTCGTCTAACAGAAAAATTTGAGCTATGGGATCTGAAATGGAGTCTAAATCATTTATCTCGGAAATAAAGGAAGTAATAAAGTCTGGTCCAAAAGAGGTTTCAACTCTTTGCCTTTTACTTCTTCTAGGCTCGAAATCAATTTGTTCAGAAGACCTAGCAGGATTACTAGAAGAAGTGGGTGGAATATATTCTATTTGTGTTTCAATATTCATTCTCGGTTCCTTTAAAGGAAAAGTATTTTTCAAAGAAAACAACATCCCTTGACTCACAAATAGAATAATCTTGTAAAAGCATGAATCTGTATGCAGCA